GTCAAAGCAGATTTTCGTGATGCTGTTGGTTGTTATCGAGATGCAAAAAACGAAGACTCAAAAGTTCATCAATTGTGGCGATGTGGATGATGCTGTCTGACAGTTGCATTGAGACAAGTTTCATTTATACAACGTAAACACCTGGCCGTTATTTTTTTATCCCCAGGAGATAAAAGTAAATGCATCAGCAGCCTCCTTTGTGCAAGCCAGTTTGCATTTTCTCGCAGATGAAAACTTTGAGATTTTGTTTTGTTTAAAAACGTTCAAAATGAGTATTTTTCCTTAATCTTTTTCTATATATTCTAATAAACTTTGCTATATATGTTGATGTTCTTAGTTTTTCCAGGACGAATTTATTTGGCACTTGCGCTATTTGTGTTTATATACCAGTTCATCAATGTCGTTTCTTGCGATTCTGCATATCTTGGTTTTTGACTCGACTAAATCTTTTCATTCCAAAAGAATTAGAGGTAGTGTTTAAGTAATGCTGTTGAATTAGTCCTCTTGGATCTCGGTTAATTTTGTTTACTTGATCGGTCAGAGGTTTCTTAAATTCATCTTGCTTAACAGCATGCTTTGTCGCATATTGTTGTATTTTTTTTTTATTTTACTGGCTTAAATACCTTTTGTGCAACAATTCGCTTAAATTTACGGTCGCCTATTTTTTTCCGCAATTGCTAATGCTGCTCTACGTATATGGGCATACATTTCAACTTTAACTACAAATGACATTATATACAACATGTTTGCATGAAGTATTGTTCAGCCAGCATGTCGTGGTTGACGGCAATTAATATGTCAGATAAAATACGTCAGAAGCGTTTTCTCCACCTCTATAAACAGTCTAAACTCGTGCTTGCTGCTGCTGGTGGCTTCATAATCACAATGTTTTAACTTGGCAGCATCTTTGCCACATCAGTGATCGCGAATAATATAATTTATGTAGCGAATGTTCATGCCAAAAGGCAGAACAATCAGTCTGTATTGCAGAAGGGATATTTTGGGACGACGTAGTTAGATTGAGTCATTTAAAGAGAGTTAACAGTGCATATTTCGCGACAATGAAAATTATTCCTTGCGTTTTTATGTGCAATCGATTTTGATGTCACTCAAGAAAATGACCGTGTCATTGTCAACACAGAGTTCTTCTGATGACTTTCTTTCGTCTGACTCTGATGCGATAAACGTGTCACCACTTGCCTCCTCAAATTATTTGTGTTCTGCACTTGGCGTGACCTGGATTAGCTTGTAATCCATCATTTTATCCTAATTAATCCTAGTGTAAAACACCATGTTCCAAATAGGATTTGTCCTGTCGCGACTTGTTGAAGCAACGATCATGTGATGACAATCTGGAATAAAGTAAAGGATACCTCGATTTTCTAATGCTTTTGAGTCGGCGTTTACGATTCATATTTTGGTATACATCAGCAGCACTACAGCAGAGAGGTTTACTTGACTGGTAAAGAAGCTAATGCAAAACGACGGTGATGCCATTATGGACTGCTAAGCATCAATTTGCCAAGGATAACAAACGTATCTTAGCAAGGTGATTAGAAAAGACGCCTCTAAGAAAATGTATGCAGCCGAAAGATATTCTGCAGTAAACGTTATTTTACTGACGTTTATTCAAGATTCTGGTCTAAAGGTTGATTAATCAGCTCTGTTCTGAAATGTTTTGGACAGGTTGGTTGTCATTGAATCTGGTATTATAGATGACACTAAGATCTTACCAGGTAAAGCATCAACTTCAAAATGACCAATTATTAAACAAGGTGTACTCTTTCCAAAAACTGACACAGAAAATGATATAATTCTTGAGTTGCGGAAAAAGAACAAACATAACTTTCGGCATGTCGAGAAATATACAAGAAGACATATTTTTTTTTTGACTCGCAGACAATGAGGATATTTTTCAGAATTACTGCGACAGAATAATTGCGAAAAATCACACAAGCAATAGGAGATTTGAAAACAACCACAATTATTAATTCGCCAATATTTCAACTCAAGGTTTTAATCTATATCACAAAATTAGGCGAAACCAGGAAGTGTAGTATAATCAATAAATACCTTATTTATCTAAATTATGAAAAGTTCTGTAAGAGCATTCAAGGAAAATGCTGACTATAATCCAAAAGAAATGACCAATTGCATAGAAAAATTCACAAAATTAGTAAACAATGCAGAGAGCAAGCTTGTATGCTAACAATTAGTGGACAGGATAAGAAAACTTGCAAATTATAACTCTTGTTATTTAATATATATCATTGCAAAGAAATATACGCATGTTACAATTAAAAGATCCAAAGAGGTACTGGACTATGGTAAGCACAACAATACCTATTAAAAGCAAGAATGTCTAGAACATTTTAAGGACACAAACTCAGTGGGCACAGACAGTGACGACCGATTAATCTACGATTAATCTACGAAACGGTGCACCCAGCTCTTGTTGTGGATAAATTTTTTCTTAATAACCCCATTGCAGCTGAAGAGATATTAAAATTTGTATACTAACTGAAAATAAAGCACATTTAAATTGTAATAAATTAAATGAATAGAAAAAATGTCACTTATTAAAATATTTAATGTATATATAAAGCTTTTTAATATAGTCTTAAATAGTGGCTTCGTACCAGACGGCTGGACAAAAGATCTACATGTGACATTTATTAAAAAAGACGGACATAACTGGTATATCAAAATATAGAATATTGCATTAGTTAGCTGGTTTGGTAGAAATTTAGTATATATAATCATTTTAAATTTGTTCAAATTCCTTGATGATAATAAATTGCTCTCATACTCAAGCTTGATCCAGGAACGTCTATTTTACAATTAATTATATCTTTAGTTTGTACAGCATTATCGAACTTTTTAAATATGCCATAAAAAGAAACATTTATTTAGTACTTTCGTAGATTTTAAAAGTGCCTTTGACAGTGCATGGGAAAATGGATAATGGCATAAATCATATTCATCAATAATCATCGGAAAGTGTTTTAATATTATTTTAAATATGAAATCAAATCAGGTGTCTATGTAAATAATGAATTTTCAGGATTGAATTGCTGTGGAAAAGGTATATTCTTTCTTCATGTTTGCTCTATTAAGTCTTATTGTGACTTAGAATCATTATTGCCGTGAACGGGTCCAGAAACTTTGCTGTACACTTCAAACATTCAGTCTTGGCAAACATGTTAACTGTTTGCTTGCTTTCATACATTGATAATACTATATATGCCTGTATTAAAATTTAATTTGTGCCCTACCATACAGTTTGAAGGACATCAACAGTTTGTAAACCAGTCAAAAGTGTTAAAAGAAACAGCTAAATATCAGCATCAAGTGATGCACCTGATTTTCATAGAAACTGTCCAGTTAACGTATGTGGACAAGGACAATAGTTTTTTATGTGTGTGGGGGGCAATATTTCTGCTGGAGAGAGAGAGAGAGAGAGAGAGAGAGAGAGAGAGAGAGAGAGAGAGAGAGAGAGAGAGAGAGAGAGAGAGAGAGAGAGAGAGAGAGGGGTCATTATGCATTACATGCGATTTAAACAAACCGTACACGTTAGGATCGTAACTTAATTCATACTGATACGCAGTGTTACTTTCATGAGTAAATATAATGGCACATGATTCTGTATCTTGGGGACTTGTTATTCATTTTGGTATGTACTGTTCCTCATTTGGGTATTACTGTTCCTCATTTTGGTATGTACAGTTCTTCATTTTGGTATGTACTGTTCTTCATTTTGGTATGCACTGTTCCTCATTTTGGTATGTACTGTTCCTCATTTTGGTATGTACTGTTCCTCATTTTGGTATGTACTGTTCCTCATTTTGGTATGTACTGTTCTTCATTTTGGTATGTACTGTTCTTCATTTTGGTATGTACTGTTCCTCATTTTGGTACGTACTGTTCCTCATTTTGGTACGTACTGTTCTTCATTTTGGTATGTACTGTTCCTCATTTTGGTACGTACTGTTCCTCATTTTGGTACGTACTGTTCCTCATTTGGGTAAGTGGTTGGTTTTCATTCACAATGTTAATGTTCTCTATGTAACATACGTATCACATGACAATAATGTTTTTCTAACGATGGAGATATGCCTGTATACCGGATGTACTGGCACATTGGATACGTCTTTTACTTGACCAGTGCAAACTCATGAATACCACATTATCCTTTCTAATGATTACATTTTCTTATGCTATATGAGTTTGAAATATTTTGGAAGATACACAATATCGTTGATGCTTGTCATGTACATATCTGTAAGTCAGAGTCAAACCCTACAGTGTTGTTTTACCGGTCAAAAATAGCGCGGCATTGAACCATTTGCCGAAAACGCTACCTTCGACAGGTACAAATTGGTTGGGACGTTTCTGACCACATATATTTGTATCCTTTCAGTTTTATAATGTTGTTTGAATAATGATAATAACATTAATGTGCATATGGAATACCCCCAATAAATGTCAAAAAGTGCAAGTTAATGAAATCAGAACTAGCAATTACAAGGGGAACAACTCTTCTCCGCTTACAGAACATAAGCTGTAGGATGATCTGATCGCCCTTTCGTGGGCAGATAAACGAGAGAGAGAGAGAGAGAGAGAGAGAGAGAGAGAGAGAGAGAGAGAGAGAGAGAGAGAGAGAGAGAGAGAGAGAGAGAGAGAGAGAGAGCTAGCTATTGATTCTACAGGAAAATAATCGATAATATTTGGCAGAATTAATACTTAATACTATCATAAAGATTAGACAATTGGAATTTTAACATAGCTTTAAAATAATTTTCAGTTATATAGTCACGTTGTCTGCAGTGTGGTAGTTTATAGTGACGTCTAGCATTGGAGCATCATACCCCCAGACATGTATCATTTTATCTCACCCAGTCACATTATCTTGACACAAGGCCGACCAGTCCTAATACTAATCTCTTAATGCTCTAGCGCCAAGCGAGGCAGCTGTTTGTACCATTGTTGTTAATTTTGGTATGACTCAGGCTGGGGTCGATCCAACTACCTTCCGCATCCAAGGCGGACGTTCTAACCACTAGGCCATGAGTAACAATAGCACAATAATATTAGCTCAGTGCACAGAAAGTATAACGTTGACCAACAAATGACCAGTGATCATAGTGACATGTAAGCTAATTATGCATTTTTGGTGAAATGAAATCAGCTTGCGTTGAATGTTATTCTAAATGAAACGTTATGACCATAAATAAATGTTACTTCATGCTGGATCACGCATCAATGTAACCAAACAAGTGACATTTGAAAGAAGACCTATCCAGTTCAAATGCATAAACAGATGACTGCTAAAATAGCAAGCGTCTCGCCCAACATGCTGTGCATAAAGGCAATGCTATTTTCGAACAAATCGGAATCGTTGAATTGGTATCCCATATCAGTAGATATTGCAAATTTTCCTTAGTTACATAATCTACTTGTTCACACCAATCACTGCTGACCCCTTCAACAGATCATGTTTTCACTTATCCCTGGCCTGCATTTATCCAATATTCTAAGGAGGATATACAAATGTAAACAAATATTATTTTTGTGTACTTTATTGGTACAAAAAGAGCGACCCAGTAGCGGTCATCTTTCCGCCTGTCATTAGAAGGCTAATTTTTTTACTACCACTGCTGCAGCTGTTTTTGCATTTCGTTTTCAGTTTAAATAGGTCTATTATTTATTTTTGTATATCAAATATTGTGATCATATATATATATATATATATATATATATATATATATATATATATATATATATATATATATATATATATATATATATATATGGGGATTATCTAGTAAACTGTATTCGTGACTCAAAACAATATTCTGATTTTTTGTACATGTTTTGTTTTCATATGGAATTGTATTCAATTGTCTAGGTAATGTAAGTTCCAAGATTGGTAAGTAGACCTTTTCAAACATTCTTCCGATAAAATAACTACTTTATAAATATATAATTGTTCTCCTTTGGGCGTTTATTTTAAAACAGAGAACCAAGTCTATTTGTTATGATAGCGATATGAATATAGTGCCTGCTGCCTACTTTAATCATAAAACTTGGAGAAAACCTCTTACAAATAATTGGAAATGACACCTTTACAAATGAAACAGCATTTCGTCATTACAATCAAAGGATATAAGTAGTAATAGGGCGAAATTTAGAAATTGCGACTTTCATGTTAGAAATTATCGCTCACATTTGGGGACAAGAAGACTTTAACATGGAGAATACAGGGTTGGCACATTGGTGACAATGGTACTTTAGCATTGGAATATTGGGCTTGTATAGGGACAATATGATTGGAACAGGGGGTGACGTCACAGTACTGGTCACTGGCAATAATGTTGCTAGTGACTGACATCATTCGGGCGGAACAGTGTGGCAAGGGATTGACTTAGCGATGGCAATCTCCGTCATGTTCAATGTCTTCTTGAATCTACGTCTCGTTGATGGTGTCTAAGATCCATTGGGCCAAATCGGCCAGCGTGTTAGGTCCTCGAAATATTTTTTTCACGTTCTCCAGGAATCTTGTTGCAGTAATGGCAATGACTAAATATATCTTCTTGAATGCAATTCTCGCATGATCGATGAGTCACGAAGAAATTATGAATGTAAATGCCGGTTTCTTGCATGAATTCCTAAGAAAAGACAAAATGAAATTGCCTTTTTTCTTGTGGTCATCTTCATTGATATAAGGACACCCGTAGGAAAAAACTGGTTTATATTTGACAAAAAAATATCCACCTGACTGAAATAAAGTCAGGTGGATAAATAAACTTGGGAACATTGGTGTGTGGGTGTCGCGGCCCGGGTAGGAAAGTTAGTTGCGGTTCTGCCATTTTCGAGGGTCAACTTGCGTTTCACAGGGTCATTTTTGAGGTCCCTGACTCTTAGGGATCAGGAAAAGGCCTAGCACCAAGGCCAAGCGCCCACCCAGAGGGACCGCAGTCCATGCCTGGGACTGTAAGCAGTCGTATCAGCCTCACGGCAGCAAGCGACTTAAAACGTCTATTTGGCATTTGGCACCATTAAATACTGAATAAAAAACATGGCCAGTAACATGGAGCAGATGATTACATTACAAGAAGTAGTGGATACAGTAGGAATGGAGGAGGAAACGTTGTTAGGATGCAGTATGGAGCTTATAGCCTACACAATTTGAGCATAGAGATCAATAATTTCAAGAAAGGAAAAATAAACAATGAACTAATTAAACAGGAAAAGGAATAGAAGGAGGAGAAAGAGGTCAATGAATAAATCAGAAGATGGAACGAGAAGATGGAAAACGACGAGAATGAGAAGATGGAGAATTAACAGGAATAGAAGAAGAAAGAGAAAGAGGATGAAAATGATGACTAGAACAAAATAAATTTGGTGAAGAAGATAAGGAACTGGTGGAAAAGAAGAAGGAAAGAGAGACAGCAGAAGAAGAAGAAACTCAAAGGCCCTTTTCAGGGTCACTCCATAACTATTCTCTCTTGTCTAAAAATTATTTTGTTGATTTTTTTGGGTATGATAGATTGATGTTCATCAATCTATGTTTGTATCCTAGATCTCAGTCTCTATATCAATGTCTCTAAGTTTTCCTACAGTAGCACGTATTCAAGTCAATCCCTTGCCACATTGTTTCGCCCGACTGAGGTCAGCCACTTGCAACATCGTACCGTCCTCCAACACTTTTAACATGGAAGTCCCATTTCCCACTTTGCCCCCTATTACTACTGACTATAACAAAAATATTCTATATAATTTGCTTTAGATTTTCTTAAATATGACGACAAAGGCCATAAATAAACGGATTCTATATTTTGAAGACACACGTACATTTTACAACTAATAATATCATATGGGAAGGGGAGTTTGTCATTTGTTCTTGTTGAGGACTAGATTATAGTACAGAACCAAGTAACAATAATTTAAATGATATCAAAATCGCCGTTTTGCTATCAGTCGCGTTCCATAAGACTCAGATATGAGTTGAGAAAGGAATTTATCTTCTTCTTAAAGAAATAAAATTACATTGTTGTCAAAATATTAAATCTCACAAAGAGGACGCTCTAGCATTCACAATTGACAAGAATTTTATAGCGAGTATCGAGTCTCTTTATCACTGGCGACAAGGAAAGCAACAATTCAAATGCAAATTGAAATCGCTTGAAGGAAACTCGAATAATTTGATAATTAGTCGGAAGCTCAACTAGAATGTACAGAGAGAGAGAGAGAGAGAGAGAGAGAGAGAGAGAGAGAGAGAGAGAGAGAGAGAGAGAGAGAGAGAGAGAGAGAGAGAGAGAGAGAGAGAGAGAGAGAGAGAGGGCGGAATACACAATTTATGGACAAAAATCATAATATTTGCCTAGTAACTATATAGACTTTCTACTGGTTAGAGGGTCCACCGGATGCGGGAGGTCGCGTGTTCGAACACCAGTCGAGTCATGCAAAAGACATAAAAGCGATACTGACAGCTGCATCGCTAGGCCCTCAGAATTAAAAGTTTAATGTGTGTACGTGTCGGCCTGGTGTCAGAATAATGGGCCTGGGTGGGATATCATGCTACATGTCTGCGGCATGATGTCACAGTCCAAGACATCACTATAAACTGCCACAATGCAGGTATAGTAGCGATGTAACTGAACAATTGTCAAAGATACATTAAAAATCTAAATCACACCCATCCACCCACCCACCCCCAAACGCACCGAAATTGTGTTGAGGTGGTGTAAGTTTATTACAACAAAGCATTTTGGACGATAAAGCTGTTCTCATCTGTTGGAGCAGTCATCTTTTTGCCATGCTTATCCCCCACCCAACTGAGGATAATAGAATATGGAGACCATAGCATGCAGCATCGTGATTTATATTTTTATATAAAAACCCAATAAATTAACAAAGGTAGTTTTATTCTGAATATTAATCAGCTGTATGTATGTATGTATGTATGTATGTATGTATGTATGTATGTATGTATGTATGTATGTATGTATGTATGTATGTATGTATGTATGTATGTATGTATGTATCTCTCTCTCTGTCTCTCTCTCTCTGTCTCTGTCTCTGTCTCTGTCTCTCTCTCTCTCTCTCTCTCTCTCTCTCTCTCTTAATTTACAACCGAAATCAAAAACATGGCGTGACTTCCTAATAATCATTGTACAATATCTGTGTGTGCCAAGAAAATGCCGTATAAAAAGTCAATAGTATGATTTAGTGTTCGTTTTCCATTTCTCCATAACTGTTTGTTTTAGATCTAAATACATGATGGAAACATCGCATGCAAGACTTTGCATCGCTTGTCCTCCCACACTATTGAAGAAAAAGAGCTAAATTTATATGCGTCATGGGTACCCAAGTGTGAATAGTGGCGAAACAGATCTGCTGTCGAATTTTGCGCAGTTAGAATAAAGCCATGAAATCACCGCGTATAGACAACTATGTTTATGCATCTTCAGCAGCAAATCTTGATCGACGTTTCTCGCATCTTGCTGCCAGTTTGCAAAGGTTTGGTTTAAATTTTTCTTGTTTTTATCGCACATCAGCACGGATATAGCGCAAAGGGTCTTTCACATGAGCACACCGCGGAAATCTTCCCCGGCATCCCCCGATAGTAAAATTCGATCCTGTACCCTACTATTCGCGAGTTCAGCACGCTAACTACCCAGTCACCGAGGTTGCTTTTCATAATGGTAAATATATAATTTACTTTTCTGTATTAACATCTTTATACGATGCCATACTGAAATGTTAAATTAACTAAAAGAAGAAAAAACAATTCATACCCAATCTTCTTTTTCAACGAGAAAGTATAGATAGTTCATTGGTGTCCTTGATATACTTGGGTTAATAACACAAACCTTTGTGGAAGAGAAAAACCATACATTCAACGGTGTATAGTCTAATCCTAGTTAAATAGAGTCATCTACATCATCATCTGTTGTGTGAGATTTATTTACCTATATATTACATCTTTATGTCTGAAAATACAGTGTCTCATGCATATGAAAATTTTTCACTGTATATGAATGCCAATGGAGTGTTATTGTTATTGTTCTT